CTGATCCCAGGAGGCCTCTCGGCTCCGCTGATCCCGGGGCTGGGAGGCCTCGCGGCTCAGCTGATCCCGGGGCCGGGAGGCCTCTGGGCTCCGCTGATCCCGGGGCCCTGAGGCCTCTCTGCTCTGTGGCTTCAGGGCTGTTTGGCTTCACTCTACCGCTTGGAGCCTGAGTATGCAGATTAACCGCCATCTTTTAGCTTCTATAATTGAAACATTGTATCTTTTGGAGCTGTTGCTTCAGGAGCTCAGAGCCCCGCAGCTGCAGGCGGGAACCTTGGTTTCCTCTATCGCTGGGGCAACCAAGCATCCTGTTCTCAGCTGCCTGGCTGCCTGCCGCCATCTTGGCTGACAGTTAATTTGCATATACTCACTGATTAACCAATGAAAAGGGTAGCGGTCGTACACTAATTACCATGTTTCTCTTTTATTAGTGTAGATTGCAGTTGTTACAATGTTGTGGACTAGAGTGACTGTGGATGTGTTTGCCTTTGCTCGCAAATGTAGATTCCAGAAGGCAGGGAGTGGTGTTTTCTGTAGCACCTACAAGGAGGACTGGCATACCATAACTGCTCAATTAATATTTGTTGGATAGATGAATAAACTTCTGGAGAATAGGAACTGTGACTTTTTAATCTTTGGATTCACCACAGTGTCTTTACATAAAAAGTAGATCAATAAATGTCTTTTTAGATTGTTCATTTAAATAGAGTTCATGTCCTAAAACCTTTGCAGGAACAGCTGTTTAAAGGTCAAAGTCCAAATATGCCATAATGCATGGTAGCTATTGTAGCTATCACATGTTCATTTCCAAACTTTCAAATCATGCCACATATTTTGTCTGATTTGTGAAAAATGATATAATGGAGTCTTATAGAAACATGCACACACATTTAAAAAAATACTGAGTCATTATTATGGGGGGAAATGTTTGAAATCAACCCTACCTCGGAAAGCTGGAATGTGTACATAATGATTTTTTCCCACTGTTCTGGTATTCTTTACTTCTGTGGGACTACTAGACAATATGTTATATATGCACATCTTGTCTCTATAGATGCTAGAGACCAACTTTTAAATTTTAAAATGTCTCATTTATACTAGGTTTTTAATACTTGCTGAGCGATGGAGTTGATATTCTCCAGGAAAGTAATGGAGCTGTTTCCACATGAGCTTTTTGTTTGGCCTATTGGGGTTATTTATATTTTACAAATGAGCATTAATTTCTGTCTGGGTTTCACCTCTTTTCCAGGGAGGTTCCCTTGAAGGATGCGAAGGAATACGCTGAATCCATAGGTGCCATCGTTGTTGAAACAAGTGCAAAAAATGCTATCAATATTGAAGAACTCTTTCAAGGAATCAGTAAGTACCTGAAATCATGTTTTTAGCTTAGCTTACGATTTTTATGCCTCTGAGAGTCACAGGATGAAATCACAGAGCTCTCAAGTAGAGCTTTTCCTCTGTGTGAATTTGTTTGATGATGTGGATATAAAACCTACAAGCATGCACTTGTCAATACTGACCTATATTGTGTCTCCCAAATCTACATTTCCAAAATTCTGTCCTTTAACCTGGTAATTCTATGTTTTATGAATCAAAAGGAAGTAACTCTGTTGCAAAATAAAATTTATTTTTATTTAAAAATTATGTATTCTACCGCATTTTATGTGTGAGGGTGGAAAAATTAATTTGCCTTCTACAACTTAAGTTCTGGCTGAACTAATGAAATTGACATGAGACCGATTAACAAGAGAAAATGACCAAATTTATTATGTATGTACATTTGGGGGCTTTATAAGAATATGGGTCCCCCAGGACAGAACTGGCAGTTGAGGCTTATATGTTATCTTGAGCTAAGGAGAAAGGGGGTAGGCGGGTTGTAATTTGGGAATTCATGGGGGTGTGGGGGGCGGGAGGCAATCCACATGGAGATGGAAAAGCAAATGTTTGGTAAACAGATGTTTGCTGGGCCATCTTTACAGTGGGACACAGAGAAGACTGATCGAATGGGCCTTGCTACATTCCTCTCTGTCTGTCACACTAGCTCATATTAAACCACTATAGTTATCTGTAATGATAGCTCCCTTCCTGGAGCAGGTCCTCTATCTAAATTCTTTTAGGCAGTTAGGAGGAAGGCCAAAGGTTTTTTCTTAAGAATAACCAGCTTAAAATAACCAATATCTCAAAAGGCATGTTTTTGGCTGGCAAACTGCTTTCCCTCATATATCAGTATGCTGAGGGGAGGAGAAATAAAATAGATAATGAAGAGGTATAGAAAACTGAAGTCAGACTCTAAGCAAGCGAAACAAAAGAACCTTTTGTACTTTCTTTTGCTTGTTAATCGCCAACAAAAATAGTCTCTCCATCCCACGTGACCTGAAATTGGGAATTGGGTGGAGAGTCTATTTGTAAATATTTTCCTCATTTCTGATCAGCTAAGTAATGGAAGGTGATGGCTCCCTTCTTCATCTCCAGTTCTGGGTAATGTTATGTTTCCCTTTCTTTATGCTGCTTCCCCATCAATAACCGTTACCTAAGAGCTGTTTCCCAGCTGGTGGGCCAGGGCTTCACCTTTACAGCTTCTCTGATCGTGATGTTTTGTTCTGGGTCCCCTCAGAGCTACTTGCTGGCAGCGATCTTGGGCAACTGTGTCCTGAGATCCTTCAGAGCATAATTGGGGACTTGAAAGAGGTATAAGTGTTTGTTGAGGTTCTGGGACTCAAAGTCTTTGGGTCACCTTAGGAGAAGTTGAACTCCTGAACAGTTGGCAGTTGTTCTCAAATATCTTGGCTCCAGACAGTTCCAGAAGGGAATTCCAGAAGGGAAACTGATAGTTTGATCTCTCTGAGGTCATCGTTGGCGGTGCTCTCAAAGTCAGAGGGACCGTTGCTTCCCAGAACAGATTTGATTTCCTTTTAACTGGTTTTGGTTCATTACTTCAGACTCTGAGAACCCACAGCAGGGAATATTTTGTTTGTTTCTCTTGGATTGACGGAGAATTCGCTGGAGACGAGGAGCCCTGACTGGGTTACTTGCATGATACAGAAACGCACAGAAGAATGCAGCCCCGTGCTCCTTGTTCTCTGGGTCTACACCGCCTTTCCTTCCTGTCTCCTTCAGGAGGATTCATTGTCTTGCTGTTATTTCACTCTCAACAGAATCGTGTTCTCCTAGCTTGTCGACCTGAGTGGTTGAACTCTGGAGTGCTAGGGCTGTCATTTTATGTTGGAAACCCCATATTCCCAGACTCCTGCTCCTTCCCGAAAATGGGCCATGGGTGCAGTGCTCTGTGGTGAAGAAACTGCTCAGCTGCCCTCCACAGCTGTGTAACTCTGGGTGACATCTGACAAGGTTTGGCTTGAACTCATTCCATTAACCTCATATTTCCTGAGGTCAAACTCATTCTTTTTCTGGCGGCATTTGGCCTTTCTGGTAGGTTAGGCTAATTGTGCAGCTATTAAATAGTTTGTCTTCATTAATGCTTTTAATCAACGAAGCCAGGTAGCTCCTGATGACCGTGACTTCCACCCCTTTCCTTTGTGCAGCTCCTCGTATTCTCTAGAGCTCTCTCCTGCTTTAGCCCCTCGAAGGCAGACTGTGCAGATGGCAGTGCTCAACGAAGGAAGTGCAGCTCTCTGTATACCTCAAATGCAGCTTGAGATTTCTCCATGAGCTAGGAGACTTCCCGAGGTCTATGTAAGTCATTATTAAAACCCCAAATGAAATAAGGACCTCAAAGAGTAAAATAAACCTAAGCAGCAAGAATCGATATCTTAATTTAAAAGATATTTCTTTGTATGGCCCAGCCAGTATAAATGCCTTCATGTGTATGAGGTCTTATGGCTCAAAGGGATGGGGACTTGGACTAAGGAATTCCTGAGATCCTACTGGTCTATTCATTTAAGAGACAAGTTTTATTCAAAGCGCTGGGGAATTATGGCTTCAAATAATTAATTCCTATAGGGACTGTAGAATACTGTATCACCTTGTCTTCCATGTCAAATAAACAACTGTTTCTGTGTCATTATACTGTGGTTGTAAGTGCCTTTGCAAAGAAGCCTATAAATGCACAGCCTGCAGCAAGATCTCTCTCCAGGTACATACTGTGAGTGCTGGTGCCTTCCCAGCCTCTACTCCAAGTGAATTTCTTCTGAATTAGGTGTTGTAGCCTAATTACAGGTTAATTTAAAACACAGTACCAAGTACACCTAAATATATGGCAGGAGACATTTCCTTTTCCCTGTTTCTACTTCTATTACATGTGCTTCTCTCCGAGTTCAAAATAGAAAGATATATTGCTGACATCTATGCTCCCCAAAGCAATTTTCCAGAGACAAACGTGCCTGGGAGAAAAGATGCAATAAAAAAACCAAGAATGAGCAATGAGAATAAAAGCCCTTTTAAAAAAAGATGCTGCCCTAACCGGTTTGGCTCAGTGGATAGAGTGTCAGCCTGCGGACTCAAGGGTCCCAGGTTCAGTTCCGGTCAAGGGCATGTACCTTGGTTGCGGGCACATCCCCAGTAGTGGGTGTGCAGGAGGCAGCTGATCGATGTTTCTCTCTCATTGATGTTTCTGATTATCTGTCCCTCTCCCTTCCTCTCTGTAAAAAATCAATAAAATATATTTAAAAATAAATAAATAAAAATAAAAATCATCATAAAAAATAAAAAAGTATGCTTAAACAGAATTAATTCATATTGACTTGAATAAAGAGATAAGTATTTCTCTTTTATATTCTTAGAGTGCTCATAAACTAGAATCAACTGTTTTTTTAACATGAGTTAATATATTTTCTAACTGGAAATATTATCTATTTTCAAGGACTGAAGCTACCCTGGAAAGGATATAGGTGCTGTGCTGTTTTGGGTAGTCTGTGCACAGTCCTGATATATCACTTCTTACTGCAAACAGTGGTTTAAATGGGAACTTTATTCATCTTGGTGAAAACAGGAAATGACTTAACTGTCCAAAAGTTGGGAAATCATTTTTTAAAAATCCTGGTACACTAATATAAGCCAGTGATTAAAATGATGATGTAAATCTGTATTTATCGGCATAAAAAGATAAATTATTGAGTGTGAAACAAAAGTTAGAGTGGTTTGTATTATATCCTGATTTTATAAATCGTGAACCATATAATATATAAAAGTAAATAATATATTCTTCCGGGTAAAGATATATGCACATTAAAATGTTAACAGTGGTTGCTTTATGCTGATGAGATTATAGGGAACTTTAAAAAAAGACTTTATTCTGGAAAATTTTAAACATATGTACCAGTATACTGTGTAATATAGTGAACCATCATGTACTCATAACCAGGCTGGTTTCATCACTACCTCACCTCCCCACCCACCTGCCTGTATTATTTTGAAGGGAATCCCAGACATTTCTGTAAATATTTTCAGTATGTAACCTTTTTTTACATAACAACAATTGCATTATCACATTGGTAGTAATGCTGTTATCATATTAATACCATCAAATATTCAGTGTTCAGATTTTAATGATCTCATGATTGCCTTAAATGACGACTTTTTTGCATTTTTTATTGAAATCCAGTTGCTTGAATTAGGATGCAAATAAGTTTCATACACAATGTTTAGTTGATAGGTCTTTAAGCCTCTCTTAAGCAATAGGTTCCTTCTCCATCTTTCCCTCATATAATTTCTTTTTTTAAGAAAGTAGATCAATTGTCCTACAGAATTTAACATATGGATATTGCTGAGTTCCTTTTTATTGCTGAGTGGTATTCCATTACATATGTAAACCAGGATTCATTGATCCATTCACCTAACATTTGGGTCATTTTTTGTTTTTTAATATTTTTATTGATTTCAGAGAGGAAGCAAGAGGGAGAGAGAGGTAGAAACATCAATGATGAAAATCACCAATTGGGTACCCCACCCTGGGGATCGAGCCCGCAACCAGGATATGTGCCCTGACTGGGAATCAAATGGTGACCTGGTTCATAGGTCGATGCCAACCACTGAGCAACGCCAGCTGGGTTTGGGTTGGTTGTGGGTTTTTTTTTTTGGCAATTACAAGTAAGATTGCTATGAGCATTCATGTATAAGTTTTGTGTGGGTAAATACTTACAAATGGAATGGCTGGCTTCTCTGATAGATAATGTTTAACTTTTTTAAAGACTGCCAAACTGTTTTCCAAAGTATTTTAGTATTTTACATTTCCATCCCTAATGTGGCGCTCCAGTTGCTCCACATCCCTGCCGACTCTTGGTATGGTCAGTTGATAAAACTGTAACCATTCTATTAGGAATATAATGGTTATCTGCTTGTGGCTTTTATTGTACATCTTCCTAATGACTAGTAATGTTTAATACCTTTTTATTTGCTTACTA